AAGTAGCTGAGAGTTCTAAATCCTGATCCATAGGTAGAGAGAGAGAGAGAGAGAGAGAGAGAGAGAACCCGGCACAGGCTTTGAAACCTTAAAGCCCACCTCCAATGACACACTTTCTCCAGGAAGGCTACACCTCCTAATCCTTCTAATCCTATCAAAGAGTTCTACTCCTTTGTTCCTAATCATTCAAATATATGAGCCTATGGGGGCCATTCTCATTCAAACCACCACACCTCACTCCCTGGTCCTCATAAGCTTGTAGTCATGTCATAATGCAAACATGCATTCAGTTCAACTTCAAAGGTCCCCATAGACTATGGTAGTCTCAACACTGTTTAAAAGTCCAAAGTCTCTGAGACACGGGACAATAAACCCCTGTAAAATCAAAATCAAAAAGCATGTCACCTACTTCCAACATACAATAGCACAGAATATACATTACCATTCCAAAAAGGAGGAAAGCGAGCATAGTGAGGACATACTAGACCAAAGCAAGACGGAAACCCAGCAGGGCAAACTCCAAATGCTGTATTTCCATGTTTGGTGTGAAAGCACTTTTCAGATCTCCAACTCTGTTCAGCTTTGTTGACTGCAATACACTCCTCTCTCTTGAGCTGGTTCTGTTTCCTGTTAGCAGCTTGCTTTGGCAGGTATCCCATCTCTGGCGACTCCCACATTTTGGGAGCTCTAACACAATCCAGGCTTCACTTTCACAGCTTCGTGCAATGGCCCCTCTGGACCTCCATGCAGGGAACCCTATGACACACCCCTGGTCTCAGCAGCCTTCCTTAGCTGGAGGGCGACTCCACCACGCTTTTCTTGTATCCCAGACTCTAAAGCCAGCATCATGCGGGTGGCTGAAGCTGCCAGACTCTGCTGCTTGCTGGCACTGGGACTTGACCCCTTACGTTTGCATCAGCTTTCTGTTGTTAATGGTGGTTCCCTTTGCTGCTTAATTCCTTTTCACAAATTGGAAGCTTATCTGGATGCGGTCTTGCCCTGAGGTTCCCACTATTCTATTTAGCGTCAGGATTTTCTTTGAGCATAGGACTTAGCTCCATCATCACCTTTCCTGGTGCTTTTCCTCCTCAAACTGTACATGTTGTATTTCTCTTCATTCAGTTTGCTCCTTTTCATTATATCTATGTATAGGTATATGTATATATATGTATATACACATACAAAAGAATGATTAATAACTGCACAACAGAGTCAATAGTAGGCTGTCTTGAAATCTCCTTTCCAAAGCCATTAATCCAAAACTCTCTAATTTAGCCTCAGGTAGATTTTTAGAACAAAGTGAAAAACAGCTGTGTTCTTTGCCAAAATATCACAAAAATGGCCTCTAGGCCACTTACTAATGTTCTTCCCCTCTTCAAACTTCTTGAGCTGTGCCACCACAGTTCAAATCACCCTCAGCACTGTCTTCCATGCTCCTATGAAAATGTCCTGTTAAACACTGCTTAAAGCATTCAAATGCTTTTCTAGCCCAAAGTCCCAAAGTCTTCCATATTCCTCCAACAAACAGCATGGTCAGGCCTGTCATAGCAATACCCCAGTCCCTGGTACCAATCTCTGTCTTAGTCACTGTTCTATTGCTATGAAGAGACACCACAACCAAGGCAACTCTTGTATATATAAAAAATCATTTAATTGGATGCTTGCTTACAGTTTCAGAGGCTTAGTCCATTATCATCATCATGGCAAGGAACATGATGGCAGGGTGGCATTCATGACACTGGAGTAGTAGCTAAGAGATTTATGTCCTGATCCAAAGGCAGAGTGAGATCGAGAGAGAGAGAGAGAGAGAGAGAGAGAGAGAGAGAGAGAGAGAGAGAGAGAGAGAGAG